GCTGGACTGGTTGGGAGGAAATCAGTTTTTTGAAAAGCTTCCCGATGGCTGCTTGGATCAGAGCGTGGACGTGTTCAACAAAAACACAAACTGTTAAAATGTTGAATATAATCGCTGTAGCTGCACTTTATAACCTGTGACTGCAGCAGACAGATAAAGAATGCAGATAAATGTAGATGAACAATGAACATTTCTGTTGTTTAAGTTTATGTCTGTTCGCTGGTTCAGTCGTCAACCAGAATTTGTTAGAATTGAAAAACTTTAAACGTGATTAATCCAGATTATTTAATTCCAGCTCCTTAATCAGATGAATGATGTGAAGTGTCTGGTTCTGGTGGACGCTGGTTCCCTCCTGCTGCACATCCACACCAGAGCTTCCAGCCTTTCAGCTCATTGACTTTACACTTAATTAAAAACACTTTTACGGGCCCTGGGACTGTTTACTGATATTAAACCTCGCTCGACTTAAAAATGTATAATAGGAAGAGTTAATAATGAATTAATGAACCTCGTTGGCAGGAGTAACTGTCTGTGTGTTCCTGTAACGCCGGTCTGTGGGGAAACAAACGCTCTTTGAGTATTTTTTTTTTAGCGGCTACCTCGTTGGTCTCGGGGACAGATTAGCATCAGGGCTTAGCAGCAGCCCTGAATCCTGCTCTGGACTCATGGGTTTAAGTTATGAACTGGTTCTGTTGTTGATGTCAGATGGACTGTTGTGGGGCAGCGTGAGGAAAATACAATCTGATTTTTATTTCTTTTGCTGAACTGTAGTTAAACTTTACATGAAGTTTAACTGAACATTGAGTGTTTTAGGATATTCTTGTATACATGTTCCAGGTTTGCTCTGTGGTGCTGATCCGGCTGCCCTCTGGGTTTCTGGGTCACGCGGTGATATGGTTCCGACCCGCCGCACCGACGGGTCTCACAAACAGAGACCACTTCAGCTGATATTTGGAGCCCCGGTGGATTTGCGACAATAGATTTTTTTGTTACCTGCACGGGGGGGATTATGCGCTCAAATCTCAGGTATTAGTGGGCTTAGCGCCGGATTACGCATTGTGCTTGATTCGCGGTCGGTCCGAGCAGATAATGCAGCAGCACGACGGGAAGCGCGCCTCCAAAAAACAAAAAGGAAACGACGAGCAGAAGTGAGGACAGGCAGCATTAATCATGTGGAGGATTGTGGCTGCTGTCAGAAGTGGGTGGTTTTCCCTGATGGCGGAGGAATACGTGACTGCAGCAAATCTGTGACACTGGTACATTGTTCTGCTCCGTACTGGGCCGCTTATCCAACTGGGAAGTCCTTTTTTATCGCTTTGCACTCGTCTCGTTAGCATAAAGCTGTAATCCTGTCATGTGGGGCCGCTCACATCTTCAGGACTTTACTGTTACGTGAGTCAGTAAAGACTCGTTTTTATCAGCAGCTCTGTGCTGTGAAGCTGCTGCAGCGTCTGTTGAACATGTTTGCTGCTATTTGACGTCCTGATTCCCACAGCGGCCGAAATTAACAATTATTTTCATTCTGAATTCATCTGACAGTTATCTCTCCATCCAGCGTTAAAGTCTGTCATATGTCAGAAAGAGTAAAATGTGAGTTCAGCGTCTT